CATCTAAAAAACAATAGTAAGGATGATTAGCTAATCTCTCAAGCGTTTGATCAATGAATGTCAAAGGATAATGGTCTTTTCTAGAAGCGACATTCAATTTCCTATAGTCAGTGCACATTCAATGTCCTGTTATAGTTCTTGTTGGGATTAGCTCATCTTTATCATTCTTTACCACTGTGATTCCTCCCCTTTTAGGCACTACATGGACCGGTGAGACCCATATATTGTCTGAAATGGGGTATATCACGCCAGCATCAAGGAGTTTTAAGATCTCTTTCTTCACCACTTCTTTAAGGTTTGGGTTTAATCTTCTTTGGAGTTCAATGGAAGTTTTTGTCTCATCTTCTAGATGATTCTTGTGAGTACAAATATTAGGAGATATGCATTTGATATCATCTAGTGAATATCCAATGGCTCTCCTAATTTTTTTTTAACTCCTTAACAAGAGTAGAGACTTCGTCATCATTGAGGTTTTCATTGACAATAGCATGATAAGTCTCATTTAGTCCAAGAAACACATACCTTAGCCCTTTGGGAAGTGGCTTGAGGTCTAGCTTAGGAGCCTTGAGTATGCTCCAATCATCATCTTCATGATCCGGTTCTGACTTAGCATCCTTAGCCTCACTAGCCTCTTGATCCACTGAGCAGACCACTTAAGTTCTTAGCTGGATAAATGGGTCATGGTGCGTGTCTAACTTGTGCTCGTTGAACAGCTGCGTATACTCTGAAGTTTCTTCATGCAAGTACCCATAGTCCCCTGGTTCCTTAGTCAATGCCACGCTCAAATGGTCATTTGTGTCTAGCTCCTCAAAAAGCTCATGATTCAGCTCATCTATAGCATCAACCTTGAACATTTTTCCTCCTATTGTTGGCTTCTTCATGACTTCATGAATGTCATACTTGAGAACCATATCTTTACCCAAATGCAGCTCTATCTTTCCTCCCTTGACATCTATCATGACTCCAGCCGTGGCAAGGAAAGGTCTGTCAAGTATCAAAGGATCTTTTGGTTCAGCATTAAGCTCCAGCACAACAAAATCTGTTGGCACTTCACCACTTCCAACTCGGACATGGAGGTTTTCAAGCAGTCCAATGGGGTGTTTAACAGAACGATCAGCCAGCACAAGCGATATCCTGTATAGTCTGAAGCTTGTGAATCCTAAGCGCCTTGCAGAGGGGCATAAGACTCACGCTTGCTCCAAGATCACACAAGCAGTTGTTAAATATGAGAGGTCCTATGGAGCATGGTAAAGTGAAACATCCAAGATCTCCAAGCTTCTTTGGTGGAGGAAGTTGCTGTATGATAGCACTAACTTTATGTGTAAGAACAACCATTCCTTGAAGCCCATGTTGTCTCTCTGCAACCGCATCATTCAAGAACTTTTGATTCTGAGGTACAAGAAATAAGGCATCAAGTAAAGGCATAGTCAACTCCACTTCTTTCATTTGCTTGTCAAAGAGCTGCTTGTACTTCCCTACAATCTGTTTCTTGAATCTTCTAGGAAAAGGAAGTGGTGGTTTGTAAGAAGGAGGGATAAAGACAGCTTCTTTCCTTGTAGGTGGTGAGACTTCTCTTTGTGTTTCACCAACTACTTGTTTCCCTTTTCTTACAGGCTCTGCCTCAGCTATTCTCTCTATCTCTATTTCAGCTTCTGGTTCTTCTTGTTGAGTCTCAAGAGATACCCACCCCCCCACTTTGGTTCGCAATGTCCACATTGAGAGGTGTTGGTGCGGCTGGTGCTTGAAGCTTCTTACCACTCTTTGTTGTAATGGCTTGTATGGCTGGTGGAAATGGTGTCGGGGGTAAATGTGATGAAGCTTGATTTGCTTTGAGTGTTGCCAACTCTTTACTAACTTTGTCAAACTTGAGCAGAAAATTAGCATGCATGTCCATAGTGCTCTTTGTATGAGCTGCAAGTAATTGGTCAAGCAGCTTAGTTGTGGCTGCATCAGGCGTATATGGTGTTGTAGGTGAAGGAATAGGGTCGTCTTTAGGTGGTGAAGGGATGGCCTGATGGTGTTGTTCATACTCTGTTGCATACATACTCTCTTGTAGTGCTTCATGGGAAGGTGTAAGGCTATGATGTTGTTGAATAGGAACACCAAGCTGGTTGTAGGCAGGAGCACTTTCCCTTGCGTGCACTAGAGGATTGTAAGCATTGTAGTTGTCATAGCTTGTATCAGTGTAAGGCTCAAGATGAATATCCTCTTGTTGCATGTAGTAGGCGGCTTCTAAGTTGTAAGCATGACCAAGAGCTGACTTCTTCTCCTTAGCCTATGGTGATTGACTCAAAGAGTTCTCAATCAACAAATCTAGCTTTGGCATTCCTAGCGAGCCCATCCTGCTGAGTCTTGTGAAGAGAGGCTTCAGTAATCTTCTTGTAAATGTCCTCATGTTCATCTGCATAGTTGCAATTACTCATGGCAAAGTTTTCAGTGAGCTGCAAACCCTCTTCTACACTTGTACCAAGGAAATGTTCATTGCTGGTTGTGTCTAGCAACATCTTGAACCTTGGTAATACCCCTCTGTAAAGTGTGATGAGCAATGACTTGGTTAAGAAACCATGATGAGGGCAGCACAATGTATAACCTTGAAATCTTTCCCATGCTGAACAGAATGGTTCATCTGGTGATTTTGTGAAACCAGATATATCCTGCCTTAGTATAGTTGTCCTGGTAGAAGAGTAAAACTTTGCAAGAAAAACTCTTTTGCAATAATCCCATGAACATATGGATCCAAAAGGCAGAGCTCTTTCTCACAAAGGTGCACAATCACCATGAGAGAAAGGAAATAACCTCAGTTTGAAGCCATCTTCTGTGACACCACTGATCCGTTGTAAGCTGCAAATGCTCTCAAAACTCTCCAAGTGGTCAAGCGGATCCTCCATACGTGTGCCATTGAAGAGGTTGGCTTGAACCATTGCAATCACACTACTCTTGATCTCAAAGTGATGCTCTAAGATGGTGGAGGGAGTATACTTATGCGTCTACTATGAAGGTAATGAGCATCATGAGAACTAATGTGTTGCACTCTTCTAGAAATCTGAGACACTGGCATATGTAGCCTATGAACCGGAGCTTCATCTTCACTAAACTGAGCTTGATGAGCAGGGCCTTGATTGTGTAGATCAGCCATGGTACCTGAGAAAACAAAACAAGAAAGGTAAAGTGATTAGTAATGTAATAAGCGGTTAAGTCTAAGCAAGAACCTAAACTCAATTATCTCTGGCAATGGCGCCAAATTGAAGAGTGACTTTTGCAAGTCAGAAATCAATCTCCTCTAATAAGATGTAGTATAGATGAGGTTATCAATCCAGACTAGGATTTGGCTAAAAGAGATGCAAGGAACTTAGCTAAGCTTATCCATTTTGATAAAAATCTATGTTCTCAATACACGCAGACAAAGCATATGGACCAGATGGGATTTCAGCTAGTTTCTTTCACCCTCGTTGGGACTCTATTGGCAGTAACATAGTCAAAGAGATACAAGAGTTCTTCACAACGAGTATTCTACCAAGGACTAACAATGCAACATATGTGAGACTTATCTCCAAAGTACAAGGACCGAAAACAGTTGCTGACTATAGAACTATAGCACTACGCAATGTCTACTACAAAGTCATTTCTAAGCTACTCACCAAATGGTTACAACCTCTCTTACCGGGTTTAATCTTTGAGAATCAGTCTGTCTTTGTGCCAGGTAGAGCCATTTCAGATAAGGTCCTGATAACACATGAAGTCCTCCACTTCCTGGAAACTTCCACTACCGAGGTGCATTGCTCAACATCGGTTTAAAACCGACATGAGCAAAACGTATGACAAGTTATAATGGAGTTTCATTAGAGGAGTATTTCAAAGAATGGGCTTCCATACTAAGTGGACCAACTGGATTATGCAATGTGTGTATACGGTCTTGTATTTGTACCTGATTAATGGAGCTCCTTATGGCAACATTCGTCCAGAGCGGGTCACATGCAAGAGGATCCCCTGTCTCCCTACATTTTCATTCTTTGCAGTGAGGTGCTGTCAGATATTTGCCTCCAAGCGCAAAGAAATGGAAAGTTAAAGGAAATTAACATTGCAAGAGGGTGCCCTCGAATAAACCACCTTTTGTTTGCCGACGATACGATGTTCTTCTGCCAGGGAAACAAAATAAATAATCAAGAACTCACGACAATCCTAGCCAAGTATTATAAGGCCCCGAGACAATTCATCAATAATGCCAAATCTACTGTTACTTTCTCACATAAAGCTCCTAGCAAACTAAGAGAAAACATCAAGCAAGAGCTGTCTATTACAAAAGAAGGAGGTATTGGTAAATACCTAGATTTACCTGAACACTTCAGCAGGAAAAAGAGAGATCTTTTTGCGGGTACATGGACAAAATCCAGAAAAAATCTATTAGCTGGTCCTCCAAGCTTCTATTCCCAGCAATGCTCAAAAGCGTGTTCTCCTCCTCTAATGCTATGACTTGCTTCAAACTTCCAGTTTTCCTCTATAAGTGCATACAATCCACCTTGGTCCGGTTCTAGTGGGATACAAAACAAGATGAGAAAAAGATGGCAAAACAAGATGAGAAAAAGATGGTCTAGGTTGCTTAGTTTCTAATTACACAAGCAAAAGAAGTGGAGGGCGGGGGCGGCTTTCTTAATATACTTTGTTTTAATGATGTATTGCTTGCAAAGATGAGTTGGAGACTACACACTAACCCACAATGTCTCCTTGCACGAGTGTGCTTTGGCAAATATTGTCAAGCCCTCCTCTACTTCACACGGTTGGGCTGCAATCCTTGTCAGACGAGATTTAATTGTAAAGTAGATAGAATGGACAATTGGGAATAGAGAATCAATCAACATCCGGCGCAATCCGTGGATGACCTGAACGAGATGTTCCCGGAAGTGCTCTTTTTGCAGCAAGACAAATTCTCCTGAATTCGGTGTGTATCATTGTGTGGAGAGATGGAATCCATCCCCCATGTACTCTTCCATTGCCTATTTGCAATGAAAGTTTGCGAGACAGTCAATTTCAGTGTTCCTCTTTCACCGGTTCTGGAGTGGAACTTTGCGTCTAGATGTGCCTACCTACAAAAACTCACTGGCCTCCCTCCACACAACATTACGTCTGCGCTGCTGTCCCCTTGAATCCTCTGGAACCTATGGACAGCGAGAAACAACCTTATCTTTAGCACTAAGGAGTACAAGGGTGAGGAGGTACTCAACAAAGCAATTCTAGATGCTATAGAATGGAACTCAGCGCAACTGAAGACAGCTTTTAAGCAGATTCGTAATACCATATACATCAAAGAGAAAGGAAAAAACAATATATGTGTCATATGCAGAACAGATGCGGCTTGGAAAGGAGACTGTATGACTGTGGGTTTGGGCTGGGAATTCACAGAAAAAGAAAACCGCTGGAAATGATAAAATTCTGAAGTAGTTAGTTTTGTTCGATCTTCTTTGATGGCAGAAGCTCTGGCCATTCGATCGGATTTAGAGAACGCACCACAACGAGGCTTCACAAGGATCAATCTGGAATCTGACTTCGACCAATCGATCAAAGCATTGACGACGACAATGACTTTCTCGAATTTACGGAATCATCTTCGATATCTGATCATTTTCTTTGTTTTCTGAGTTTTTCTCTTTTACATTCATTAGAAGAGAGGGAAATACTGTAGCCGATAGTTTGAAAAAACGGGCTTAGCTCAGTTTGTCCTAAGCCCAACTTAATTTTAATCAAAAGAAAAATTTGGCCAAAAAAAAATATATATGTATGATTTTATATGTTATTGTTAAATCTCTCTAGAAGATCGATCAACAAATTAAGTATGACAATGTCAAGCATGAACCCCATATAAAAGAGATTATTAAACCAATTTTATTTTATTAATATTGTGCTGGCACTTGTCTTTATTTCTTGGGTAGTAGCTTTCTTCAATTCAATTTATAGAGCATCAACAAAGATGATTCCTTGTTGTTCTGCTATAAATATTTTGCAACATGTGTTAGTTATTCGTTACACGTAAAATATTCTGCATAACTCTCCCTTCCAGTTTTATCAAGCTGCCTACAAGACAAAGAACTTGGATAACGTAAGAAATTCTTTCTAAAACTCTTGTATCTTGGGTTTCTTAATAAATCATACAACCTAAACTGATTTGAAACTGCATGCTGCAATAAAGGAAAAGCAATGTCCATTTTAGATTTCATTTTCATTTTTTTTTAAAACTGTTTTTATTGGATCTTGATTTAGTTTGTGATTTTGTTCTTAAGCTTTATGGTTTGAATCATGACTGTCATGGCTAGGCACTCAGGCTGGAAATCACACCGAAAATATAGGCATTGTTAGCACACCGAAACTGTCATGTCTTCCAAAATTATAGTAGGGTATCAACATATGATAGCACTTCAAACTTGGAATAATATGTTACTTCATGTTTCTTATATTTGCACCATTTAGGACTGTATTTAATACATGTTTTTGTCCCTTCTTATATGTTTTCTTTATTATTTGTTCAATTTTTTTATCTTCTAGATATATGTTGCATTTATGATATAGTTGGCATTTTTCTTGCATTTAGAATGTTTTTAGGTACCAAAGGAACTGTTGGAGACATTGTGTAAGAATGGAAGTGATTCAAGAAGATGTCTCAGCCTAGGAGAGCCAAATGAGCACATTTCCAAAGCTGGTATCAGGCACCATATCGGGCAATTGATAGCTTGCTATTTTAGGTCATTTTAGGCTGCATTTCCTACATCTTTTCCTTTGTTCTTGCATTAAAGTTTAGTATTTTAGTATCATTTGCACTTAGAATCAACATGACATGCATTTAGCTTAGGATTGCATACATTTGCCTACATGTGCATGTTTGAGGTGATCATCAAGTGTTTCTGGAGCCTCTTGGAGCTAGGGAGGAGATGGAAGAAGCTCAGGGTCGCAGGAGATGTCAGAAATGGAGTTCTTGCAAAGTCTGATCCATATCGAGCAAGCATATCGAGGAGAACACCCGTTGAGTGTGCTTGATGCAAGCAGCAGGACAAGAGGAAAAGGATCAACACAAGGGTTCCAAGCCGTTAGTCTGCATCGAGGTCCAGCATTGAGGAAGGACATCGGTACGCGCTGCACAGGACATATCGAGGTGTAGCATCGAGGAGAACAACGAGAACACACCTTGATATCGAGCAGACTGCATTGAGCAGAATACCTTCCTTTGCACCTCGATATGTCAACGCCGAGAGTTTACCAAGATTTTTCTGCTTTTTGTCAAACCTTATCTTCTTAGCTTATTTAAGCTAAACCTTATCTTTTTAGCATCTTATCTTCTTCTTTACCCTATTTTTGACCTGTTGGGAAACCAGAAAGAGTTTTTTATGGGATTTTGATCAAGATCACTCTTATAATAAAGTTTTGCACTTCCTTTATCATTTTTCCTCTAGTTCTTGTTTAATCATGTTTGATCTATCATCTCTGCTTATTTATGTTGATTTTTCTATGTGTTGTTTGTAGTTTCATATGGTTTGAGGTTGGAGCAGATTTGGGGATAATTAGATGATAGTTTAGGGTGTTTTGGTTGGATTAATTCTTAGATCACTTAGCTTAGTTGTTCTTAAGGCTTGAGTAGCTTGTTTAAGTGAAACAGATTTTAGGTGTTTGCTGCATCACAAGTGTTTGTTTAAATGCCTGAAAGAACTTTGCTAGGAACAATCGCTTAGATGATTATATCGCGTTTAGGTTGTCTGTTTGGTCTTTAAGAGCCTTGTGTTTTCATGCTGGTTTTGCATAGATACGCCATCACAAGTGGGTCTGACATGTGCTTAACTTAGACATCTCTGTTCTTGTTGTGGGCTGGTTTTGGACAGATACGCCATCACAAGTAGGTCTGTTATGTGCTTTACTTAGTTATTTCTGCTCTTGATACGGATTGATTGATTTAGTGGCTTGATCATGTTCTTTGCTTGCTATCAGTCTTGACCACCCTAGGTTTGATACTAAGTATTCCCCAAGTCATCATTGCTCTAGCCTTGAACTAGCGTTTCATTGTTCTTTGCTTTTCATCATTTTGTGTTCTGTTTTCCTCTGTTTTTAGTTGCTTTGCTTTTGTTCATTTCCTGCCTTGCATTTCAAGTTATTGCATTTAGATCATTGTCTTGTAGTTTCTGTTGCATTTAGCTTCTTTGCATTGCATTGCTTGCTTTAGTCTTGTTAGTATTGCTTTTCACTTCTGCATTTCATCTTTGTTCACTTAGGTTGTTAGAATCATCTTTCTTCATCATAAATGGTTAAGCTTAGTTAGAACCTTGCATCTCTTTTATTCTAGCTCCTAGATGGATTGATTAAACCTCATCTATACTACATATGATTTATAGAGGGATTGAGTTAAGACTTGCAAAAAGTCCTTCTTCAATTTGGCGTCGTTGCCATTCTAGGATTGTTAAATAATTGAGTTTAGGTTCTTGCTTAGACTTAATCACCTTTTAGTTTACTTATCGTTTTACATTTCTTGCTCTGATTTCTCAGGTAAAATGGCTGATCAACAACATCATAGACATGCTCATCAAGCTCAGTTCAGAGAAGATGAAACACCAGTTCAGAGGTTACATAGGCCAGTGCCTCAAATTGCTAGAAGAGCACAACATATAGGATCGCATGATGCTTCTTACCTTCATACTAGACGCAGAGGTATACTCCCTCCACCATCTGAAGAGCATCACTTTGAGATCAAATGTAGTGTAATTGCAATGGTTTAAGCCAACCGCTTTAATGGCACATCTATGGAGGATCCGCTTGATCACTTGGACAGCTCTGAGCGTCTTTCCAGTCTACAAAACATCAATGGCATCACAGAAGATGGTTTCAAACTAAGGTTATTTCCTTTCTCTCTTGGTGAACGTGCGCATTTGTGGAAAAAATCTTTGCCTTTTGGATCAGTATATTCTTGGGATGATTGCAAAAGAGTGTTTCTTGCAAAGTTTTACTCTTCTACCAGGACAGCTACACTAAGACAGAGCATCTCAGGGTTCAAACAATCACAAGATGAGCCATTCTGTTTAGCATGACAGAGATTTCAAGGTTACACTTTGCGCTGCCCTCATCATGGTTTCTCCACAGAGTCATTGCTCATCACATTCTACAGAGGAGTGTCACCAAGGTTCAAGATGCTGTTAAACACAGCTAGCAACGGCCACTTCTTGGGTACAACGGTGGATGATGGTTTGCAGCTGATTGAGAACCCTGCCTTGAGTAATGGTGACTATGTGGATGAGCAAGAGGACAGCTACAAAAAGAATACTGAAACCTCAGATCAACAAACAAAGCTGGTTATGTTTGCATTAAATGCTAAGCTAGACTTGTTGCTTGAGCAGTCTAGACATCACCCACAAAAGGCAACAGAGAGGACATCAGCTCTTGGACATGCTTACAACTTAGAAGCTGAAGCCTACTATGTGTAGCAACAAGAGAATGTTCATCATATGCCTTACCAGGATACAAGCTTTGCCTACAATGCTTACAGTCCTCTAGCGTACACAAGAGAAAGTGCTCCAATATACAATCAGTTTGGTGTTCCCATACAACAAAACCACAGGTTTACACCTCAATTTGAAGAACACCAAGAGAGTATGTATGCAACAGTGTTTGCTCCTCAACATCAAATCGCTGCTTCACCAGTTCAGGATGTCCTTAGTCCTTCAGCAACACCACCATCTGCACCTGATTCAGCTACAGCTAGACTGCTTGAGCAGTTTCTTACCGCTCAACAAAGCATACTGCAAAAGTTTGAGAGAGTTAGTGATGAACTTGCTATGCTTAAAGCCAGTCAGGTCTCCTCTAATACAGCTCAACAACAACCGCCACTAGCTGTGCAAGCAATCACTATTAGGAGTGGTAAACAGCTACAATGACCTGTAGCACCACAACATCTCCATGTGGACATTGAGAAGCAAGGTGGAGGGGGGGTGTCTCTTGAGACTCATGAAGAAGAGACTGAAGCTGAACAAGAAAAGGAAAGGAAAGCTGAGGCAGAGCATGTAAGGAAAGGAAAACAAGTGGTTGATGAAGCACCAAAAGAAGCCATACAGCCTACAAGGAAGGAACCTATCTTTGTTCCTCCTTCCTACAAGCCACCACTCCCATTTCCAGTAAGGATCAAGAAACAGCTAGTGGAGAAGTACAGGCAACTCTTTGAGAAGTAGATAGAAAATATGGAGATAACCATGCCCATTCTTGAAGCCTTCTTGCTTATACCTCAACATCAGAAGTTCTTGAAGGATGCACTTGCAAACAAGCAAAATGAGGTACAAGGGATGGTAGTTCTAACTCATGAGGTTAGTGCCATAATACAGCAGCTTCCTCAACCAAAGAAGCTAGGAGATCCATGAAGTTTCACTCTACCTTGTTCCATTGGACCTCTCTCATTCAACAA